GGCCACGAAATAAACAGTATATAAAGCAGAGCGTTCCAAGACACGCGTCCTTTTTCCTTCCCAAACTTCCAACGGTAAGCACTCCTAGCGCTTTAGGTAGCGCTCTGGATCTTCCCGCACATCCTACACGCAATCCAACCCCGATCGTGCGCCAACCACGGCGTCTGACGGGCTATCTCCACCCCAGGTTTCGACGGCGCTGTCCATAGCGACGCCGAAGCCAACTTCCCGCGGAACTCCAAACGAGCGCCTTCCTCGTCGTCGAGGACTCCTATTCGCCCTTCCCTACCGCCATTTTCATAAACGTTTCTTTTGGGCGTAGATGCCTCAGAGGAAACGACCGCGCGGAAAAAGAGGGGGCTGGCGCGTACACCTGAAGAAGCTCCAGCGGGAGCTCCTCACCGGGGAAAATTTTGACCCTTCCCGTCACTGGAGGGAGGACCTAGGGGACATTGAAAGGGTCGCCGACGTCGCACCAACTCCGCCGCCCGGTCTCGCGGACACCGAAGCCCGCGCACACGAGATTAAGTCTCACGAACTCGCAATCGCCGCGACCCCGCCGCCGCAACCGGGACCTCCTCCGTCTCTACCGTACGTGGCGCCCGCCCGAAAGGCCATTAGGCCTATCCTAATAACGTCGAAGCCTCGCGTCACGAACAATACGCCTTGTACTATTAAGATTAAAATAATAGAATCATAATCGCTTGCCTACTTTATTTCTCAGCCCTTAAGGCTCTTTCCATTTCCTCCCCTGTTCACCCACGCACTGACACTAGAGAGCGTAGATAGAGAGAAGAGAGTGATTAATATCACAGCAGCCAGAGGAAAGAGATTCTAATATCTTCATGAACTCCTCTCACACTTTCGTGTATCACGGGCGCTCTATCTGACGCTTCCTCTGAACTCTCTAGTATTATTCTCCCAATGCATAACTAAGGGAACACGGAAGGATAAAACATAGCTAATATAACAAAAGACATCTAGCTAACAGCACGACAATATTTCTATACGTGCCTATATTGAGGCACTGGTGACAGCAGCCTGCCCCTACGCGTAAAAACACGCCAAAACAAATCTCGCCGAAGTCAAGTTCCCCGCGTGCCCCGCTCCGCGCTCGCGCTCACACGATTCAGTGTGGCTCCTCGAGGCCGCTCCGAGAAACCAAACACGCGACTCAGAACGTCACAGTATTAAAAGAAAAAAAGTTATTTTTTAATAAAAAAAGGACTAAACTATGTTGTTTTATTTTTATTGTATAATATTTCCAAATATTCCATATTTTATATCATTTATTATCTTCAATGCTTTATATCATTTATCATATATATAAACGGGTCCTTTATAAATATGGGCTTGTCTTTGGCCTCTTCCTCTTTCTCTTCCTCTTCCTCTTCCTCTTCCTCTTCCTCTTCCTCTTCCTCTTCCTTTTCCTCTTCCTCTTCCTCTTCCTCTTTCTCGTCCTCGTCCTCGTCCTCGTCCTCGTTTTTCCCATCCGTTTCTTTGATTCTCATTGTAACGTCCGGCGCGCTACATTATAGCACCCCGGCCGTTTACCAAGCGAACGCGAGCACGGAGCATAGCAAATAATACAATACGTGCCAACTACAAGCGCGTAGAACTATAGGATAGGCTACTGAAACCGTCGCGTTCGAACGCCGCGCGCACAGCGCTTGCGCGACCGATATAATAGAAAAACTAATAGAAAAATGCATGAGAACACATAGATAACACCGCCAAAAGACAAGGAATAACGAACGTCCTAATTAACAATCAAACAATCACGAGGAAATAGTGCCGATCCACCAAGAACAAATAAAAACGCGCAATTACTTATAAAATGCATAATGATGCAACACGAAACACGCGCATCGATCATAAAGGGCTCAGGAAGCAAATAAAAACTATTGCCATTTAAATAAAGGCACGAATGAGGAAATAAGAGCCTTAAATAAACAAGGAAGATCCGCGAGCGCTTCAGAAGAAAGAACTCAAGATACGCGGAAAAGCAGCGTGAAAAAACGCGCAAAGAATGCACGCTGACTACACCGTAACCGAGTGCATCACGCGCCAGCCAAGCGCACCCTTAAGAATATTGCAAACCCCGCTAAACACGAGAACGATCAAAAAGACGAAAAGACACGCAGCAATCAAATAAATCGCGATAAAAGAATTAGAATATTCTAGAGAATTTCGCAACTACACGTGTGCGAAAACACCCCCTTACCGCGAGGGATCACAAAACAAAACATATATAAAGCGAGACAATTTGCAGACAATTCGCCTTATTCCTTCTTAGCTACCAAGACGGTAAGGACTCCTAGCGCTTTTAGTACCGCTCCGGACCATCCGTTGTATCCTACAACTCCAGCTCTGATCGTGCGCCAACCACGGCGTCAGACGAGCTAACTCCTCGCCTGGATTTCTGCAGCGCCAACCACGGCGACGCCGAAATCACCTCCTTGCGGAACTCCAACGAGCGCCTTCTCGGCGTCGAGGTTTCCGCATTCTCTTTCTTTCCGATCTGCCGCTACTACAATACGTTCTTTCTGGGCACAGATGCCAAAGAGAAAACGTACACGCGGCAAACGAGGGGGTTGGCGTACCCATCTTAAGAAGCTGCAGCGGGAGCTTCTAAACATAGGAAAATTCGATCCTTCGGATTATTGGAGGGAGGACGCGGGGGACGCAAACAAATCCTCGGTCGACACGCCAGGCGCAACTCTTGAGATCGCGGATTCG